CATGACATCGAACCATTATCTGCTACGATCTAGAACCGATCGATTGTCGTCCAACGAGTTATCAAATGTGGTCGCATTCTGTTGAAGCCAGAGGTTCCAAACAATTATTCCAAAGATGTCCCAATGCTTAGTTTGCCCAACAACTCCCTTGGGATTACCCAAGTTCAATGCTATTTAATCTTTCAAATCCATGCTTAAGAAATTAGGCAAAAGTTCCTAATTCACCACAGCACTCTAGACGACCCTAGCCGACGGACAAAGACGCATCAAATGGTTGACATCTTCCCCCCGACGTTACATATAAGGACATGAGCTATTGATCGAGAAGTGTCGTCGTTTCCGTTCTGCATTCACAATAACCTTATCACAACAAACAAGCCAAAGAAACATTATAATCTTTGGTGGCCGTTGGAATTTTGCGACCACATGCCATATAGGGTCTTCACCTTTACTATGATGGCTACCTTGCATCTCATAAGTTGATTTCAGCGTGAAACAACGGTCACTTCGTGGTCGCCAACCTATAGCATTCACACCAAACTGCTGCTTTGGTCCCATCTTCGCTGCTATATGCACCAGTACATGTATAGGAACAAATTTTCAAAAAGCACCCAGCGCCATTGGCCCTGGTCATCAGACATATCAGCAACCGTCACCCTCGGCAACCCGATTTCACCAGCTACCAAGACATGGTTTATCAAAGGTTCATACTGATCAAGCCATTCATCAAACCCTTAGATCTTGCTCAAGACCACAAAGAAAATCTGAATGAAACTCTCCCAACACACACTAGATTTCACGAATTCTGGCTATTAAGGATAGCTTATTCCTACCTATATGCCCAAAAACCTCTACATTCCAACCCTTAACCTCCGAAGTAAAAATCTTCAAGTTTGTGCAAAGAATGCTGCCTTCCTGCCACTGGATTGTAGAAAATCTTAACATTTTCATGTCGATCTTGTCGTCGGTTGGCCTCACCGCCATTGTCATCGGGTTTCCCACTCTTTTCCAACCATAACCCGACCGATATCATCCCCTTTCGTTGCGTTCTTCGCCGTCCGTAGTTGAGGGTAAGAGTTTTTCTTTCTTCGTTAATTTCTATCGATTTTGGTTGACTTATGGATTGATCCGAGTTATTTTTGGTGAACGGTGTCGTTGGGAGGAATCGGCCGCCCCTCCACATCCTTGTGACCACCGCACGCACCACCATGCACCATCGTCGCGTGTGGGTGTTGTTTCTGTCGAGCCTTCTAGATGAATGAGTCAACTCGCTGAGTTGAACTGCCCGAACCGGTCTACTTTTTTTAGCTAAGTCGAGCCGTTAAAGCCTTTGAGCCGAACCATTTAAGCTTCTAAGTCGAGCCGATGATCGAGTTGAGCCGCGTTAACAGAGCCGTTTACCAATTGACTTTGACTTTGACCCGTTGACTTTGACCAAAAAGTTAACTTTTTCGAAAAAAAGTCATATTTTATGTTTTTCGACGTCCTGAGTCTGAATTTGAAGTCTATATCATCAAATTCAAACTGGTAAGTTTTTTTCAGTGTTTTATCTATCGATTAGAAAAATGTTCCCGATTAAGTTCCATTTTTTATGTAAATTCTTTTGCTATGTCACCTAGATATTATGGGACGTCGAAATCAAGTGTGAGAGAATTTGAATGGAGTTCAAATGACCGACCATTGTTGCTCGAAAATCTAGGTAATATTTTACTACCCTATGCACACTTTGCGGTACATATTGGTAATTGATTGATGTATGATTTATAATGTTTAGTCAAGTAAATCTTGATGAATATTCTTAATTTCGTATTGAATATGGTAAAAGGATATTAAATTGGGTAAAACTTAAACTAAGTACAGTATATAGTTGGTAAATTGAATAAGACTCGGATAACTTGCTTAAGAAATTGAAACATAGATAATAAAGAAATTTAGGATCAGCAATCGACCTCAGGATCTGTAAATTCTGATTATTTTCTTTTAAGGTTGAGTGCCAAGAATACTTGGATAAAAAATTACAAAAATAACCCTATGGAGTAAAATTATGAAAATGCCATCGTGCTGCAAAAAGACTAAGATTGCCCCTGATAGTGAAAAATAACAATGAAATGACATAGTTGACCAAATTACCAGAAAATGTTCATATGTTTGGATTGAACATAATTATCAAAATGTTATCGATCTGTGAAATACCTTGAAATCTAAAGGACTAAAGTAACCTCGAGTACGGAATTGACCCAAATTTCCTCATGACCTAGAAATAATTGAATATTACTGGATAATTCTAGAAATATCGAGAAATCTAATTATTGTACCGCCCCTCAAGGTTATGGAGATGACTCAAGTATGTTGGTCATCTTGGAGACTGTTTCAATACATAAATAACACAAAAAACATCGGAATACATACAGTTCCTTAAGATTCGTTCAACGATGGTTCTAAAGATGATTATTTCGATTAGTGATGTTAGTATTAAAGTGTGAACATTCTTGAAGTGTATCGATTCGAGTAGTTGACATTTATCGTAGTGTTGGGATTTGTTCAGCTCGAGTTGACCCGATTTTGTGACAAATCGACATGAATCGTGAATACCATAAATCATCGTTTTACTCTGATTGGATTAAGTTGCTAAGAATCCACCAGAAATCAAAGTGTCTGAAATACCTTTGATGGCCTAAATAATGGAATCACTCTGGTTATATCTGAAATCTTAATTTATTCTGATGTAAAGGTTCATAAATACCTTTCTGATACACCTGAGATCCTAAATGGTCCTGAAGCATCAATCTTTGAATGTTTGTTTAGACCTGTTAGTAATTAAACCCTTTTAATAGCGACCTCGATCCCAAATTTCGATCAATTTTGAGTAAGTTCATATTTTCTATTCCTGATAATTTTCAAGTGCCTTCGAAAAATATCTTGATCCTCTAGTGTGTTCCTTATTGACAAAAATATTTTCTCTAATCTATATAAAGTATGATTTCTGATATATGGTTTTTGATTTCTAACACGAGGTAAAATTAGCTCCTAATTTTTGATATTACTGTTTGCTATCTTATCTGCTTTATTAGGGTACTGTCTGGGTAGGTGTATGAGACTCTGAGGTTCAGCTAGCTGGTAAATCCTTTCTGTTCTGATCATTCATATTGGACTCCTAGATCCTAGGGGTCTAGGGTAAGTCCTTATGGATGTTTGTTCTGGGGTACTGCATTTGGTGTACGATTGGAGGGAAACTCTATATTTTAAATAAAAAATCAACTTCTGATTTCTATTTTGTGATATTACTGGTTCTATCTAAAACTATTTTATTTGAGTATTGATTGGATAAGGTTCTGGAGTCTCTGAGGTTCAGCTAGCTGGTAAATCCTTTATGTTCTGATCATTCATATTGGACTCCTAGATTCTAGGGGTCTAGGGTAAGTCCTTATGGATGATGTTCTGGGGAATTTTACATGGAGTATTCGGATGGAGGGTACTACATGATTTTAAAAACATGTTTTACTGAAATAAATTACTATTGTTTATAAATTATGATTTCATTTATTTTGGTTTTGAGGGAACAAGCTAGACGTCTGCTTCAATCTCCTAAACCTGATCTTCTGAATGTTTCCTCTAAACTATAATCTTCTTGTCTGTTACTTGAAGAAATATTAGTGGAACCTCAATTCATCTCGAAAACTTGTAGATGCCTAAATCAATAAGAAATTTTTTATGCTTGTCGTTTATCTGCTTGTTCTTCAACATCATCTGGTAGTTTTGTATTACTGAGCTTCCCAAAGCTCACTCTTTTACTTACCATTTCAGGTTAACGAGTAGATCATGTACAATTATCGACATCAACATTGGGAGTTCCTTCGGCGTTTTTGGTGAGTACGGTACCTGTATAATTAGGGGGCATGTAGGTCACATTTGATTTTTATACTGAGTCTGGAACTTGTATGATTTTAATTCTGTTTGTAACATATGAATAGTTTTCTAAACTTGTATTTTAATTATAAATTATTTTATGATTTAACATGTTTTAACAAAAAAATAATTTCTCCTGGATTTTTACTATGGGTCGCTCCAGTGGCCCTAATGTGACACTTCGGATCGAATCGGGTCACCTGTATCGGTCCGAGGATGTTACAATCATTGTATGTTCAAATCATACCTTTAGACATTAAATTTTCTCTTATTTTCACTTTAGCACCTAACTTTCACTTTTTTTTACTAAAATTTCTAAATTCCTCATTTGGCATAGTTTAGTACTTAAACTCTTATCCAACATCCATTCTTCTTTAATTTATAATATAAAATAAAATTAATTGAATTCTCAAAACTTTAAATATCAAAATAACACATCGGAAATGAATTTCTCAATCATCATGCATTAAAATCTTTTAGATTAACTTTTGGGATGTTACACTTTTGATGATTTTTATTATTATCTAACAAATGTAATTGAATCTTCATCATCCATTTGTCCAAAAGAGATCAAATTCCTTCTCAAACCAGGAACATGCATGTCTAACATTATGTAATCTTCATATGTTGCATTTGGTGTCGTTATGGACCACTCAATGGTCATGTCATTAGATTGTTGTCCGAATGATATGGAACTTTGAAGGCTTCTAAGAATTTCAGAGACGAAAATTCGAAAAAAGATATAACAACACTATTGCCGGTGACAGAAGCAAAAGATTAAGTTGAAGAATACAATTGATGTCATTTTGTTAGGTTATTGTTGAATTTAATTTGCTTTTGCTTATACAAACCAAAGTGAACCCTGTATTTATAGAGTTAGATTGTTGAATATTTTATGATATAGTATGGAAAAGAGGAGCACTCAAAAGGCTTCTAATTTTTATGATTCTCTTCCACATGCAAAATACAAGATAAATCTGAAGCTTATAGATTTATATGTATTCCCATAATCTCATGAATACATGTATTTGACCTTAAAGTTTAAATTATTACAAAACATTAATGGATTCACTATTTGAAACCAAACCCTTTTCTCAAGCTCTGGAAGTACCGCCATGATCCCTCTCGACATGTTCTACTAGTGCGACAGGATCACGAAACCCCTTACTACACTTGGGACAGACATCGATGGACAACATAAGAACTCGAGACTCATTGTTCTTTTCATGCACCTTCTTAACATGCTCTACCAACGCCGTCACAGACGAAAATTTCACCCTGCATTGCCGACATTCCTCCACTTTCCCGCCGCTGCTGTCGCTCCGGCCACTTTGCTGGTTTTTATGGAAACTAGTACCTACGTTGAGAAATCTTGTGGACCAGTTAGACAAAGATGTTGACGGAGCTCCGGCGGGTTTCTTAGGTCTTGGACAGTTGTGGTCGAGCCCGAACCGGTGCTTCAAGCAATGGTCTACACCGCAATCCCTACACTTGATCGTGCTGGAGAATGTTAGGGCTTCCCTGCAACGAGGAACTGGGCATTTTTTCTTTTTGACAACTTTCTCGTAGTTTGAAGGATCACATTCGGTGCTCACGTGTGATTCCCAGGAGATGTTTGGATCTTTATCGGGAATCAAGCGAACTCGTTTGGCGCATAGGGGGCAAATGACGACGGTGACGCCGTTGGTGTCTGCTTTTGGACACTCATGTTTAATGTAGCTTCGATGTTCCAGGCAATAGCACTGTTTCCATTAATTAAAAAAAAGAGTAAACTATGTATTTACTCACCCATACAACCTTTTGGTTATGTTTTATTAATACAACTATTTTTTTTAAATCATCATTAATGTCACGTTTTTGTCTTATTTGGTCACCCGTAGTTAACAAATTAATAGAACCACTTACATGGTATTTTTCTTATTTTTTTAATGATGAATTAATATTATCTTATTGTAACATATCAATATCACGTTAACTTTTTAACAGTGGTGACCAAAATGAAATAAAAACGTAATATTATTTATAATTTAAAGAAAATAGTTGGGTGACCAAAACAAAACCAAAGTTCAACCAGCTACTATCACTTTAGTTCGTTTTAGTCACCTGATCATTTTTTGTCAAAATCATCCCTAACATTATCTTTTAATTTCACATTAGTCACTCACCATTAAAAATGGGTAAATTACGCGTCTAGTATCTAAACTATCAGTCTTGATCTATTTTAGTACCTAAACTTTTAGTTTTTTCAAAACTATACCTAAAGCTTAGTTTTTATTTATTTTAGTACCCCGTTCAAAATTTAACTTTAAGTTTTGAAAAAAATAAACGTTTAGGTACTAAAACAGACCAAAATTGATAGTTTATGTACTAAACACATTAAGTTTTTAACGGCATGTATTAAAATGAAATAAAAATAAATATTAGGTATGATTTTGAAAAATTTGAAAGTTTAGGTACTAAAACGGACCAAAATTGATAGTTTAGATATTAAACACATAGTTTACCCTTAAAAATAACATAAGTACTTATATGTGATTCTTTTTACATTTTTTTGAAACATGGAATTATCTTATTATTACACATCAATGTCATTGTTAAATTGTTAACGTTGATCAAAATGAAATCAAAAAATAATATTATTAATAGTTTAATAGAATAGCTGGATGATAAAAATATAACTAGAGTAATAATTAGTGACTAAATACGTAATCTAAAGGAAGAAATTTCACCAAATAGAATTGTTTTTTTTAAGAAATAGAATTATTTTGGAAGTCTTGATTCTGAATAATCAAAAGGAGTTCTTCAAAAAAAAAAGAATAATCAAAAGGAGTTCTTCAAAAAAAAAAAGAATAATCAAAAGGAGACATTTTTCATATATGGGATACGAAATTGGATAAAACGATGGCGTACCAGATTGCAGCAATCGCAAGTGAAAGGCAAGAAGTCAATCTGTTTGCAATGTTGAACGCTGCAATGTCTTCCGAGATCAGGGAATTCCAGCCTCCCCATTGTTTTACTTCCGATTCTCTTATCGGAAACGGAGCTACTTTCGGATTTCACGGAGAAACCGCGAAATGAAAGTCGAAACGCCCAGAAACAGATCACATTTCCTTCTTCCTTACGGGAAAAATAAAGAAAATGGAGCTTAATATTGGGACAGCCTTTATCCACTCTCCGACGTTCAAGGAATTATATTTCGTGCATGAAATGAATTAGGCTTTTATATTTACCCTTTAACATTTAAAATACTAAATTATAAGTTTTTTGATATAATAATAGTTAAATTAAAGGTAGCACGAATCAATTTACCTCAGTGGTTAAAGGAATTGTTGTTATTCTTAGAGGTCATGGGTTCAAGCACCAACGACTGCAACAGAGTGATTGAGCGTTTATTATCAAATGGTTGATAGTATATTTAGAACATATACTTCTTTTAATCACCTTAGCTTGATTCAAAAAAAATATTTAAATTAAGGGTAAAGTTTACAAATAGTTCTCCGACTATAGGGGCGACACTTTGTTGAGTCCCCTACTATTAAAAGTTACAAGTTTGAAACATATGAATAGTCAGATGGGAGACCATTTGTGTACTTTACACTTATATTAAAGATCGTTAAAAATATTTGTTTATATATAGTGTATCATGATTAAAACAAATTTACTTCAGTGGTTGAAAGAATGATTGTTATTCTTAGAAGTCTCAGGTTCGAGTAGCAGAGAACATATACTTTTTTTAATCACCTTAGCTTGATTCAAAAAAAATATTTAAATTAAGGGTAAAGTTTACAAATAGACCTCCGACTATAGGGGCGCCACTTTGTTGAGTCCCCTACTATTAAAAGTTACAAGTTTGAAACATATGAATAGTCATATGGGAGACCATTTGTGTACTTTACACTTATATTAAAGATTGTTAAGAATATTTGTTTATATATAGTGTATCATGATTAAAACAAATTTACTTCAGTGGTTGAAAGAATGAGTGTTATTCTTAGAAGTCTCAGATTCGAGTAGCATAGATAGTAGAATATTTGAACGTCTATTGTCAAATGGTTGAAATATATTATCACTTGTAAGCACATCCTAGATTAATAAAAAATATTATATATTAATAAAATTTTAATGAATTTTAATATTAAGATTTTGATGTACATTACGTTTAGGGTTCTATATTATATTTAATCTTATATCGATAAATATATAATTCATAAAAATTATTGTACACAATTCATATTGAGAAAATAATATACAATCCTCACCTTATTCTCATCTTTTATTGTTCTTTTTTGTTACTTCATTCTTTTTGTTTTATAAAAGAGAAAATAATTTCAGTGATCAAAAATGTCTTATAATATACGATTTTAACCAACTTTTTTTGAATTTGCCAAAATGACCAACTAAATCACAATGCGATCGATAATTCGCAACGCGATCTCCGGTATCGCAAATCAGTTTCCAGATTCGCAACGCGATTCTGACTATTGCATTGCGATTCTCCAAATTCACGTTGCGATTTTCCGACTATCGCAATGCGAATATGTAAATTGCAATGCGAATATGTAAATCGCAATGCGATTATGACTATCGCAATGCGATTCTGACTATCGCAACGAGATTCTGACTGTCGCAACACTGAATTTCAAATTCGCAACAGGTTTTAGTTTCGCAACACAAATGTTTTGGGTATATAACTACGCAGCAGAAGCAACTCAGAACCTAAATCCCTAAATCGCAACTCATTTCATCTCCATCTATCACTCTCTCCGGCGACATCCGTTCCTATATCCAACGACATCCATCCCTATCCGGCAACAGGTTTTAGTTTCGCAGCTCGTTTGTTTAGTAAATTAATTTACAATAATGAAATCATCTAATGTTGATCATGTTTGGATAGATTTGTGTTTTGGAAGGTCATGGGAGAATGTTCATGGTGTTTTACAATATATGCCTTTACCCATGAATCTTCAACTAAAACTGTCATTAAAAAGTTAACTTATGAAACTCTAATGTTACGTGTTGCAAATAAATTGAATTTAGAGCCCTTAAGTGGATTTAGGATATCTTATCAGAGAAAAAGTAAAGTTTATTTGTTAACCGACAATGAAGATGTTGAACGATTCATTTCTTACATTAGTGTTTTGCAAGATGATGTTACATTGTATGTTGTTGAACCTAGAAGTAGTGAAGTTGGGTCAGTAGCGGGTAGTAATCAACTAAATTTTTCAACCCCAGTTTATGGTGCTCAAAATTTAATGGTTCCACCACAATATCATCACCAAGCAAATTTTGTTTCACCACATTTCCAATACCAAACACAATCTCAAAACCCACAACCTTTCCCTAATCCAAATCCCAATCAACTTTCAGCACCAAATTCCAGTTTTCGTATTAACCAGTTAGACGATGATGAGCCAACAGAAAAAATTGTGAGTACTAGTCGGTATTCGAAATTTGATCTTGGTCAATACCCGGACTTTGATCTTGGTCAATACTCGGATTTTGATGATGTTTCAGAAGAAGAAACAGACCCTGCGTGTAATAATTTTGATATTGGTCAATACCCGAATTTTGATGATGAAACAGCCACTGCCGAGGAAGATGTTGTTTATGATAATGAGGAGGAAGTTACGACTGTGAATGAACATGTTGAACATCCATTCTGTAATTCATATAACCCTGAAGAAGAAAAATAAGAAGAAGAAATCCCCGAAGAAAAGTCCCCGAAGAAATAGCCACGGGAGTATAACTGGAATATGCCAGAATTACTTCAAATACCGGAAGAAGAGTTGGTAAAAATAGCAGTTGATTGTTACACAAAAATTATTCGTATCAAGAAAGATGATTGTTTTGATACAAAGGAAGACTTGAAGATAGCTTTGTATACGAAATGTGTGGAAGATGGCTATCAACTAAAAGTTAACAAATCAAGCAAAGATCGTTTCGAAACAAGGTGTATGATTGACAAAAACTGTACGTGGCGTATGATTGCAAAGATGATAAAAGATTGCGAAATGTTTCAAGTTAGGACTTTTATGTTCAAGAACCCAAGTTTTTCCTCACCATAGACAGGAAAACAAAAAGGTGTTGGGTGGTTTTCTGGCTGAGTTAATGTTTTTGAATGGCAGGGTATATTGGGGACATGAAATTATGACTGACATGAATGCTCGGTTCAAGATTAGGATCTCATATTCTCAAGCTTGGAGAGCCAAATATTATGCCTTGGAATTGTTTAGGGGGTCGCCAGAAGCATCGTTTGCCCAACTGTTGGCTTATTGTCACAATTTAAAGCTGAAAAATCCTGGGTCAGTAACTCATATCAAAACAGATAGAGATGGACGCTTTGAGTTGTTGTTTATCGCCATTGGTGTTGCGGTTAGTAAATCAATATAATTTTGTTGACTCATTTTTTTTAGTTACATGCATTTCACATTTAAATGATTATATTTCTTGTGTATATGATTTTGTAGATTCGTTCGTTTATTACTTGCATGCACCCAGTTATTATAGTTGACAGAGCACATTTAAAAGGTCGATACCTTGGAGTAAACTTATTAGCAGTAGCCATGGATGCTAACAATGGGATACTACCAATAGCTTACGGGGTTGGCAAATCTGAAACCTCTGATTCATGGACATGGTTTATGGGGCATCTTAGGGATTGCATAGGTCCTATTAGCAATTTGACAATCATATCCGATAGGGCAAACTCAATTGACAACGCTGTTAGAAGGTGTTTCCCATATGCTTTTCATGGACTTTGTGGTGTTCATTTAAATAGAAATCTAAAATCAATGTCTGCTGCTATAAAAAATCACAAATGGACATACTGGAAGGCTATAAAAGCTTATCGGGAAGTGGATTTTAATAAGCATATAAATTGTTTAAGACGTGTTTTGCCTCAGTGTGCTCAAACACTAGAAGATGTCGGGTTTGAAAGATGGTCAAGAGTACATCAACTTGGAGCAAGATATGGTTTCATGACGTCTAATAGTGCAGAATCAATTAACGCTCTAAGTCGTCATTCTCGGAAATTACCCATTACTATGTTAATGGAGTTTTTTCGAGCCTCTATTCAACAGTGGTACTACAAGAAAAGAAACCATGCATGTATTATTTCTTTAAATTCGTAACTTATCATATATTTTACTAAGTATTATTTATTTAAATTTACAGGAACATTGGAATATCGTGTTACACCATGGACTGAAAAAAAGATAACGAAACGTGTTGTGAAGTCAACGTCATGGAGAGTTGAACCATGTTCAAACACTTTGTTTGAAGTACTAGATAATAACTTAAATGGGCTTGTTGATCTAAATGCAAAGACATGTAGTTGTATGAAATGGCAAACATCTGGTTATCCGTGTGGGCATGTTATAAAAGTTGCTCTTCATCTAAACCAAGATGATTCAAGCACATACGCTATGGATTGCTACACTATAGAAGTATATCGACAGACTTATGCCGAGATTATCTACCATATTCCACATCCTTCTGAGTGGGACATACCAGATGACTTACAAACAGTTTTTCCACCAGCCATGGACAGAAGGCTACCTGGCCGACCAAAAAGTCACGATCGTATACCGTCTAAGGGTGAAGAGAAGAAGAGATCGACATGTAGTCGGTGCAAGGAAAGTGGTCATACAAGGTTGACATGTGGATCACCAGTGTCATCACAATCATATTTTCCTCTACCAAAATATGGATCCTCATCAAAATCCAAAGCTCACATAGTGTCAAGAAAAAGGCAATCAAAATTGCAATCAAAATCAAAATACCAATCACAACCGGCTTCACCTTTTGGGATTATTAACTTAGGTGATTTTTAAATGCAAACGTTGTATTATGTGTAAACTTTTAACATTTTCAGTTAGGCATGTATTAGTAACTTGAGTTTGAACATTGCTATGATTTGTTCAGTTGTTATCACTTATTACACATTCATTTGAATATCGCAACGCGAATTTGACTATTATGTGTATTTTATGTGTAAACTTTTAACATTT